CCCCTGCGGCCATCATGGCCTCAAGCATGCCCATTCCCGATGGTGTGACCGAGGCTGGATATGTCGGTGCCATGACTGGTTCCGCCTTGGATCCAGTCAAGTGCGATACCAACAATCTCTACGTGCCTGCCACCTCCGAAATTGTCTTTGAAGGTACGCTTTCTATCACGGACAAGGGTCCCGAGGGTCCTTTCGGTGAGATGCACGGCTATGTCTTCCCTGGAGATACACACCTATGGCCCAAGTACAAGGTCAACCGCATCACCTACCGCAACAACCCCATTATGCCCATGTCATCTTGCGGTCGACTGACCGATGAGACTGTAAGCCACCCGCCTCCATCTTTCCTGTTCCCTACTAACAAGTATTAGCACACCATGATCGGCTCACTGGCCGCTGCCGAGATTCGAAAAATCTGCCAACAAGCCGGTCTCCCGGTGACTGATGCTTTCGCGCCGTTCGAGTCCCAAGTGACCTGGGTCGCTCTGAGAATCGACACCGCAAAGCTGCGGGAAATGAAGACCACCCCGAAAGAGTTCTCCAGGAAGGTCGGTGATCTGGTCTTCAACTGTAAGCCTGGCTACACCATTCACCGGCTCGTGCTTTGCGGCGACGACATCGATGTCTATAATGGAAAGGATGTAATGTGGGCTTTCTCGACTCGCTGCCGTCCTAACCTCGACGAGATCTTCTACGAGGATGTGCGCGGGTTCCCCTTATTCCATACATGTCGCATGGAAACGGATCGCCGGTTCAGGGAGGAAAGGTCGTTTCTGATGCTCTTCTCCCATGTGAATATACTACCGGAAGAGATTGGGTGGCCGCCGATTTCGAGAATTCGTACCCTGAGGAGCTCAAGCAGAAGGTTTTGGCCAACTGGACGAAGATGGGATTCCGGGAGGAGTAAATGAGGATTGTATATTAGTTGATAGTTATTTTGAATAAGCATAGATTGATTAGAATCTCGATCAATGTTCTCCTTTGTCTTCCAAGATTGATGTAATTCTATACTCATGCCCCGGTGGATACCGCCAAGGATATTGGAACCATGGTTCGTTTGTAAGTTACCGTGTAACCCTGTTGGGCAGTTCTGTCAAAGCGGAAACTCAACTTGACCCGCGTTTTGGCAAGGCCTACATTGCTCAGTCTCGAAAACTGGAGCCCATATCACCCAGTACCGAGCTCGGATGCGGGTAATTATATTGAGAGAGCTCCACACTTTCAATCGACGCACCTTCTTGGCCAAGACAACAACCCCTGCTAGTCCCGGTACCTCGGAGTCCTCGGCAACATGAGCCCTGTCAGTCAAGGCGAAGCAGACCGGGTGTTACAGCTCAAGAGTCGAGAGCGAGAGGCCCATGCATGCTACCCATGCAGAAAGCGAAAGGTTAAATGTGACGGGTGCCAACCATGTCGTACCTGCCAGAAGCGAAAACACCCCGAGATCTGCACCTACAGCCTTTCACATTCGAGGCGCAGATCGGCTTCTCGCCATAGTGTCGCTCGCTCGGCTTCGCCCAGATCACCGGCCGTGGCAAGCAATCAATACGCACGGCCTGATGATAGCTCGAAGAATTATGTCTATTCTGGTGACAATTCGGTTGCTTCAATTCTGCGCATGCGAGCATCAGACGTTAATGAGTCGGTGGCCCGCGAGGTTGGATCTGTTCTTGGTCTGCAAAATACCTTCAGCAATTATACATTCATGAACTCGAAGACGCCACTTGAAAAGTGGCAGTCACTGCTGACTGTAATACCTCAGAGATCAGAGGTCTTGAAGTAGGTTGCAAACAATTGAACAAAAAAGGAATACGGCTAACCGGTTAGATTCTTCCACTTCTATCGTGTCACGGCATATCCATTCAACCCAATACTCGCTGATATAGACCGTTTTGAATCTGACTTGTGCATCTATCTTAATGCCCATGCATCTGGTGAATTACGCGACCCGGAGAAGATCACTGATCGCTGGGCAACCGATAAATCTATCGGCCATATCAGCCTTTTACTGGCAACATTGGCAGCAGGGGCTCATTACTCCGATATTGGATGTTCCGAACGATTTGAACTGTCAACTGACTTCGGTAAGCTGGATTGCACGCCCATCAAGCTTAGCTAACGATATTCAGCCCGTCGTTCATTCCATGCTCTCCGCTTGGCCAATTTCCTGTTTCGGCCGTCACTAGATATTATACAAGCACTGCTTATCTTAGGGAATACGTTGCAGAATATGGGACAGTCCGATGCCGCCTGGGCGTTACTGGGAACAACGATTCGACTAGCTCAGACCATGGGCCTACACACTGAAAGAAGTACTGTTCACTGGCCTGAGCATGTGAAAACGAAGGCCAGGAATCTTTGGTATGAAGATCGAACTACTATAGACATATCTGCTCGCATCGCAGCTGACTTCCTACAGGTCAACAATTATCTGGCAGGATAGTTTACTGTGCCTTTGCTATGACCGACCGCCAATTGTCTCCGTGACGGGATGGTCTCTTGCTAACTCATTTTTCGAGAGACAAGACTTGTCCTTCGCAGAAGTAATGCACTTGCTCTGCCGTATCGGCTTAGATATCATGCGACCGGAAAACCTCAGCACCGCTGAATTTGATCGAGCATTGGAAGGGCTGCAGCGGCTGGATTATGCTCACCAACGCGGCCTACCATATCTTCGATCAAGAGAAAATTGCACAACAATGCAACAACATCTCGAACATTTAGCTCTTAGGATGCACACCTCCTTCTGTGTATCGGTCCTCTGCCGGCCGGCAATGAAGCAATCCACCCACAGCCTTTTCTCCACCAGACTGGCATTCTTCGGGATCGTGCCAAAGGGAGTTTGATTGATGCGTCCAAGGCATTTCTTGATTTTCAGGCTTTGAGTACTGTTCCATTGCGAAGCTGGTCAATGGTACATACGGTGTTGAGTTCGACTCTGCTTCTCTGCATCTGGGAAGAGACGCGCAATGACCCCGAATGTCGCAATCTTCAACAAAAAGTTATTGACGTCTTCTCATCATCCAATTCAAGAATAAGTGATGATGGTGCTTCATCCGAAAGTGATAGTCAATGGTTGTCGGATCGTCACATCCGAGCCTTGGTGACCTTACGAAGCGCCTTAGAACGAGAGCAGGAGACGAGCGCCACGGAAACGGAGAACTGGGCGGGAATGGCCTCGAATATGCCGCCGCAATTCGGTCCTGGGTAAGTTTCCTGTCTATGGTGAAGATGAATGCTCACATCTGAACAGGCCTGTTGGACCCATGGATATGACCAACCCATTCGACGTATCTCCCGTCACGTATCTAGACTCGATCATGAACCGTAAGCACCGTTTTCCTAGTTTCGACAATAAAAGCTGACATGCCGCAGTTCCGATGTTTGATTATACACAGGAAAATGGATTTCTATGAAAATTTCAACCCTGATATCGTACGTGCGTTATTAATGGCCAGACATGATCAATTACAATTTCGCAAAGCCCACAGCAATGCCGGCTTTTATGCCAATTTTCCTTTTTTAAGGAAAAGTTTCTTCTAAACTCTGTCGCGGCAATCCGCGCAGTCCCCGGATCTCGGCATCGGCGCCTCGGATGGCTTCACTCTCTCCAGAATCGGACCGATGCAGTATGCTCTGTTTCTCGGGCCATGCAAAAACTCCCAGCAGGAAAATCTGTGAGACCTGGATATTCGGCATCTTGCCACACAACATATTAATATAAAACGAGCCAAGGGTTACAAGGCTCAGCCGTTCATCACACCAGTCTTCACAGCTCCACAGTATACAAACCAAAACCATCACTCAACAAGACCAAAACACCTTCAAGAAGTCTCCAATCAATGCTCTCTCTTCTCTCCGGAACACACACCCCATCTTCCAGCCGCCACTCTCCCGGAGGCAGCCCAACCGAAACAACGATGCCAACCATCGACCATGCCCCTCAACAAACGCGCCGCCGCCGCATCGTGGTCGCAATGACCGGCGCAACAGGCGCCATTCTCGGAATCAAAGCTCTCATTGCCCTCCGTCGCCTAAACGTGGAAACCCATTTAGTGATGAGCAAGTGGGCGGAGGCGACAATCAAATACGAAACCGACTACCACCCATCGAACGTCAAAGCATTGGCAGATCATGTGCACAACATCAACGACATGGCTGCGCCGATCTCGAGTGGCTCTTTCAAGGCCGATGGCATGATTGTTGTTCCATGCAGCATGAAGACGCTCGCTGCTATCCATAGTGGTTTCTGTGATGATTTGATCTCGCGCACTGCGGATGTCATGTTGAAAGAGAGACGGAAGCTTGTGCTTGTTGCGAGGGAAACGCCGCTTAGCGATATTCATCTGCGTAATATGTTGGAGGTTTCTCGTGCTGGTGCGGTCATCTTTCCGCCTGTGCCGGCGTATTATATTCGGGCTGCGTCGGTGGATGATTTGGTTGATCAGAGCGTGGGACGTATGCTCGACCTGTTTGATTTGGATACGGGTGATTTTGAGAGATGGGAAGGATGGCAGGCGGAGAAATAAAGGGCGGGAGCTGGGTTGATTCGTTTTGTGTAGCATTTGTTGGCGTTGTCGTTGGCTTGGGTACCTGGGTAAACTGGTGCATTATCAATATACTTCAACTTTGCATTCGAAAATGTACAGCACTTTCCATCAGCATGAACTCTTCTGTCCCCTTCATCAGGCGGTGGCCTTAATGCTAGTGATGGCAAGTTCAGGGTTTATAGTGAGTCCTGGGGATAGTCACATCCAGTGGTAGATAATGGACAATATCCTGGTAGTCAATGACAAGAATGGCCAATGTGATCTTGGTAATTAATATAACGAACAGTAGAATCCCAAGTACAACATTACTCTGACGCCATGTCCCAAGAAACAAACAGAAGTACTCAACTCGAAGACTCCAATCAAACGACTCCCACAATCCTCATGAGGATATCATCTCCATAAACAAGCCGTGCCAATCAAAATGCCCTATCACCAAAAAGGAAAGCCCTAGTAGTCCGAAAAAGGTCGAACAGAGGTAGTCCCCTTCCCTCTAACAGCATAAGCGGTAGCAAGCGAGCTATAATCCAACGCATCACTAACAGGGAACTTCCCGGGATAACTCTCGACAGAGTAGTATTTGCTCGAGCGATACATCTGCACCGTCTCGGAATCAATCCCCCCATCAATGGCCGCCCCAAATGAGACTGGCTGCTGCGCCTTGATTGCGGTCACCGGACCAGGGTCACTGAAGTGGTCTGTGACACGCGCAGATGCAGACATGGGGACGGGGAAAGAGACATTCTGGACGAGCTGGGGCTGCGAAGCGTGCACTGGGACTGGAACCAGGTGTGGCTCGGTCCGTTCCTCGTCTGAGGGAAAACCGTCCATATCCCGTGGGGAAACGGTCAGGGGCTGTCGGAAGATGGATCTTGCTGAGTTGGCGATCTTTGAAATGCTGCCTCGTGTGTTAGATCGGAGCTTGCGCACGGTTTCGTAGATGGGGGAGTTTTCTCGGGTATGTTCGGTGCCCGGCCGTGGGGTGGGAGTTTCGTGATCTGATGAGGAGTCTGAGTCTTGGTGTCCTTCTTCTGGCCAGGGTGAGGTGGCTAGCAAGTTGGAGGTGGGCTGGGAGGTGGTGCGGATGTTGTTCTCGTAATTCAAAGCGTCATTGCCTGATGAAAGGTACCACTGACGCTCTGTTGCCGTTGCAGAACTATAGGCTGAGAGTGGGACAGTGCCGAGGATGGCATTGATAATGCTCGTTTCCGTACGATCGATGGCTTTCTTGAAGGGCGAAGATTCACGCTGTGTCCAGAATAGTCGTGCGAGGTAGGAGGCTGCGTAGAGGAGTTGCAGCCAGGAGAGAGAACCGATGAGGTGTATTGTTTTTAGGAGGGATATGGGGAATACTGCGAAGAGTTTTTGATCCATGCTGAAGACCACGACTCGTCTAGTGAAGATGTTTGGGATTGGGACCTTGTGTAGGAAGTCATGGCCATATTACAATCGAGGAAGCTGCAATGGAAGTACTTTGTAATAGGGAAAGAACCAGAGATATTACTCGAAGTTGAATATCCCCGATCTATATCTACCTAGGTATATTGTAGTTTCCTCAGATCTGCTGGTTAACGAGTATATCTCGAGCTAACGTGTCCACGGGAAACGCTAAACCCGCGATGCTTATAGATCCCGCTCCACCCGGCCAACTCCACCTCTTCAACTCCAGGTCTCCCTCTGTTCATGTCCAATATAAACGCTGCTCGTTCCATCATGTCGGCTATTGCCTGCAAATATCTTCGTCCGCGGAAGTTCGCACCTCTCGGTTTGACTAGCACGTCGACTGCCCCTCTCTTGAAGGGAATTGTGTTTGATGTGGATGGTACATTGTGGTGAGTCACTCTTTCTCTTCCTGCTTTATACGCGATATGTGCTGTAGTTATTTTCTCTGGAATGTTTGCGATTTTGGATACACCTGGAGACTTGATATTAAATATGTCTTCCCAGGTTGATGCTATTAGTTATTGGAAGTTGGCGGGAAATGAAGATCAAGGCATCAATCTGAGATTCAGGCAGAAACATACTTCCTATTCGGGATAGTATGCTGATCTACTCCAGACGATACTTAATAGTTTACATTATATATCCCAGCCTTTCTGTCTTATTCTCTTGTTATCTGGCATCTTCAAGCAGGAGGAATTGAGCATCTCCGGTGATCCAATGATACCAAGCTGATTGTGTTATAAAGTCAACTTTATACTGATTGAACCCAGCTGACCTTGACTAGTTTGCCACAGCATCACATGTTCAGCGAAATGAGGTATGACCTACTGCCTAGGAGCTATTCAAATCGAAACCTCGCTGAAAGCTCCTCTAACAAACCCCTCACTACAGAGAAGCACTAGGAATCGATCGCTCCATCGACATCCTGCACCACATCCGCGGACTCCCCACTGAAGAACATGCCACGGCCGTATCCAAAGTGCAAGCCATAGAACGCCGAGCGATGGCCGACCAGCAGCCACAGCCCGGCCTGGTCCGCCTAATGGACTATCTCAAATCCCGCGGCTTACGACGGGCGCTCTGCACACGGAACTTCGAGTATGTTATAGCAATTGACACAACTAGGACATAACATCGGAGCCCTCCATGGGTCCATATCCAGTCCAGTTATGTGATGTACACACAGCGCTAACCACGATATTCGCATCTCTTAGAGCACCAGTCCAGAACCTGATCGACAACTATCTCGATGGCCATATCTTCCTGCCAATCGTCACGCGGGACACGCCCAATCTCCTGCCCAAGCCTGATCCCGCGGGCATCCTGCATATCGCGAGTGAATGGGGTCTTGCTAATGGTGAGAATCTGATCATGGTTGGTGATAGCATTGACGATATGACGGCTGGACATATGGCTGGCGCTGCGACGGTGTTGCTTTTGAATGAGCGGAATGTGCATTTGCAGGAACATCCGCATACGGATCTTTGCATCAAGCGGCTGGATGATTTGATCGGTATTCTGGAGGAGGGGTTTGTCGGGACAAGAGAGAATGATGAACATGGCGCATGAGAAATATACTCGCTGAAGTGAGAGATGATAGAATAAAGTGTCATTTAATCGTACATACATGCTCAGCCGAAACTGAGCGGAATCGTAGACACTATGCTGTTTGCTATGTACATGGCTTTCGCCGAGATCTGATGCTCAATTCGGAAGAGGTAAAACCCCCTTCTTACCACCCGCGGCCTCTGCCGCCGCCACGTGGTCCGCGTGAGAACCCTCCTCCTCGTTGTGGTCCACGGCCTCGACCACCGCCTCTTGGTGGAGGAGGACCCCGGGGAAGGGGTGGGTTCGCACGTTTAGCTCCGACTCCGCTGGCGAACTTGATACTGCCGCGGGTGTTGCCACGAGGGGCAGGGACGGGGCGTCCTCGGCCTCGGGATACGCGGGACATCATGTCATCGTCGTCTGGGGATGGAGGTCGAGACCATTCCCTGTCTCGTCCGCGGGATCGAGATCGGCTTGGTGCGCGGGTCTCTCGCGGCGGAACAACAGTGTTGAGGTTCGTGATCATGTCGGAGTCGATACCCTTCAGGGTAAATGACGATGAAGTTGTGCACGGTTCGCGTAAGTCGTTAGCTGGGCAGTCTCCCATAAGATGTTTCGCACTGCAGCAATTCGCACAGCAGATTGATACTGTGACTTGGTTGGAGTGGAGATCTCTGATTGGGAACTTCCATAGATAATCGCATTCATTTTCCAGATGCTCACTGCCACAGTAGTCACAGGGCACTTCGTATGCGAAACTGCGTAGCTTTGCACTGCATTGCGGCTCGTCGTGGCCACGTTCGCGGCATCTTTGGCATCGTCGCCAGTCGGGACAAGTACTGCTTTGGTGCTGATTCCAGGCGCCACAGTGTTCACACTTCATATTGAGGTTAGTACAGTGAAAATAACGTAACTGGATGCAAGATAGAACATACCTCTTTTGCTGGGCAGACATCGGCCATATGGCCTTCACGTTGACATTCAAGGCAAGAGATAGGAAGTTTGAGATCTATATCATGGATGCTGCGATCGAAATAGACGTACTTCGCAATGAGCTCAAGGTCTGTCTTGCTTAGGTCCACCAAAGCAGCAGGCGCATTTGGATATTTGCTTGAGAAAAGCCGGAATGCTTCCTCTTTTGACCCAGGTCCGGATTGTGTAGATGTGCCTTTCAGATTTGAGTCTCCGGTGTTTGAACCATGCTGATGAGCTAGGGTGGCAGGGTCGTAGTCATTGGCACTGTCCATTCCCATCTTCTCCCCGATGTTCAACAAGATAGAGTCATCAGCTTCAGAACCAAGAGAATCTGAATCGTCTGTGTCACTCTTTGAGTCAATTTCTCCATCTTCCAGCTCATCATCATTTTGAGATTGGTTGTTTGTTAAGGGCTTGTCTTCACCATTGGCCGAAACAGATGCACTGCGACTGCGCCAAAACTTATCATTCACCGCTTCAAATTGACCAGGCTTCTCGTTTGTTGGCGCCGATCGTTTTCCAAGTGTTGTTCGCACTGCAGCCTTCCGACCCTGGTTCCAGCTAATCGCAGGCGCGGTGTTGCCGGCGTGTGGGTTTGCGACGGTAGTTGGGTTCGCATCGGAATCGGAATCTTCACTTGACGCTGAACTGGATCCGGAACTAGATGTGCTGTCTGGATCATCTACTGGCAAGGAAGTGGCACTGAATGCGACGCCTTTTGGAACGAAGTCGGCCAGGTCTGAGTCCTTCTTATTTCTGTTACGGCGTTGTCGCTTCGCCGGGCGGGTGCTGTCGTGGGATGCGGAGCGCGAGGTGGAACGCGGATTCGAGCGAGTGCGCGGGGCTCCCACCAGGGCTGTGCGTGAATCAGCCTCTTCGTCTGAGGAATTTGCCATTGAGGGAATTGTACAATTTGGATAAAAGTATTGGACTAAAGATCGGGTGAGAAGTCTGGAAGGATCAACAGTAGAATTTGGCTCCCCAGAATATTTCACGGTAAACTATATCGACCATTCGCGCAATTCTTAAACTTAGGAAGTATACCGCGGAGACCTACGAGGCGATAAGCCATAGAGACCCATGATTTGCATTCCGATAAGCTTTTTTATGCTTCTATTGTAATATCTACCTAGAAATAAAACAGGGGCCTGAATTTTTTTAAATTATTTCCTCCAATAAATCAGTACAGAAGCACTAGCAGACCTCGTTGAGGTTGTATACAACCGAGGCATGCGTACAGTGGTACTTATCAGAAGCATAAAAGCGAGAAAAAATGGACGGAAAATACAAGGTCTATAACCCTAAGGTCGACATTGGAAGCCAACAGTCAGTTAATCAATATCAACATGCTCTCGACATGCCCTCGATGTGGTATAGACAGCGGGAAGACAACTCTTTGACCCCGGGTCACTCTCAACATACATGCATGGTTCCGTCTGTGTACTAATGACAGCTTGCATAATGATTCAAGATGCTAATTCCAAGTAAAGAATCATTATTCACTCAGCCTGGGCGTTGTCTTAGGCGCAAGATCTACCCGTGAAGTATAGCAAATCGAGGCGATCGACGCCAAGAGTGGGGCTGATGCCGTCTTTGTATATACATAGTCTCCCAAGTGCCAAATGTTAGTATAGATTATGGATCATTAGGTTGAAGATTCAAAGTACTGTTGGCTATCTATGAGCCATGGCCGGGTGAAGGCTCACAGCCTAGAGTCATTCTATATGCTCTCTTAGATCCATCAAATTAGGGCACTCTCATTGACCAATTACCGCAAGTTGATTACAAAATTGAGCTGGCGAACTAGCTAGTTAGCATCAGCTCTTAGTGGATGAAGCAGAGGCCCATTTACTTTTCTTTACCCATAGCAGGCAATGCTACTTGGAAGCATAGCAATGCCAAATGTTGGACGGAATCCTAGCCAATGCTCCCGCCATCAACTGCTTCAGTTTATACCAACCGAGTACTGGACATGCCATGCAGAATGAAGGCACCTTTCCATACTAATAGGATCCGTGTGTTTCTATAACAGCAGATGACCTTCCAAGCATCTAAAGTCTAAAGAGATCGGACGGCAAACTCGGAACAGTTACTTTCAGTCCTCCTAGTACCATATATACTTCCCCTGGAGTTTTATTAAGCCATTCAAATACAATCACTGTATACTGCTAGGATGAAAGCCATGCCCGTGTTCCATCACCATGATTTGGTTCTAAGATTACTGCATCTATCTGTAGCCTTTTTAATCGGGATCTTTCCCTATACACTTGTTGCTATAATGATGTTGAGAACTCTTTGCTATACAGACATATACGGCTTTGGGCAAGGTATAACTGCAAGAATATTCAGCCGATTACGCGGCCTCTGTCTTTGGCGACATAAGGCTATTAATACGATCCATATTTGGCCTAAGATGATATTAGGGATGTTATATGTAGGAAGACTCTCATGTGCTTCTAGATGTTCTTTTTACATGTTCTTTTCAGATGTATGCAAAGGGGTAAAATAATCAATTTGGTGTCATAGTTGAGCAAAGGTGGCCCAGTCCTATATTAGCCTGTTTTATAGCCATGTCTCAGACGTATTTGCCCCATAAAAGGGAATGCCAACGATAAGAAATATTTCAAGAAATCCTCATCAAACCAGACAAAAGGGAATCATTCAGGAATCTTCCCCTTTACTGGATCCCTAGTATAAAGTACATATACATACATGTATAGTTCTAGTCCTTTCGGGCTAGATTCCGCACATGCATACTGTACATCAGCCAATGATGCATTTGCCTCTACTCCGTGGTAGGCCAATCTAAAAGGTAAGAAATAGATTAATAAGGGCAAAAAAAGTCAATCTAATTATAGAGTCTAATGCAAAGTAAAAAAAAAAAGGATAGTCTTAAGCCCAAAATGAAAAGAAGACAATCAGAGAGCTCTTCCGCACCCCGTGACCACAAGCCGATCCGACCGGCAAACTCCAGTCTGGGCCGTGCCACCTCATCCCCACGCTCCTTTTCATTCTTCTCTCCTTCTCTCCCAACTTATTCTTCTTGTCTTTTGGAAACCGTCAAGCTGGCGTCCGACAATTCAAAAGTGTCTTCCCTGTTGGCCCCTCGTGGCATATCCTTCCCTCCGGATGTTGACACAGGGCCGCAGCGGTTATCTCCAAGCATGACCTCAAAACAAGGCCGCCGAAGGCGGTCCAGCAGTCTTATCTACCAGGAGCCGGCCGAGTCTATCGAACATACCAGCGATCAGGCCGCATTGCCAAATCTGAATGCAAACTGGGTGAACGCCAAGGGTGAGTGACAAAAAGCTGATCCGGGAGACCCCATCACAAGCTAGAGAAATGGAGAGACCGAGGACTAACGTGGAACTTCATTTTTGATTGTAGGTGCCTGGACCATCCATTTCGTGTGTATCGCCGCTCTCAAGATTTTCTATGATATCATCCCGGGCGTCTCGCAGGAAACTTCATGGACCCTCACCAATATCAGCTACATGTTCGGATCTTTCCTCATGTTCCACTGGGTGCGGGGCATCCCGTTCGAGTTCAACGCCGGTGCCTACGACAATCTCAACATGTGGGAGCAGATCGATAATGGCGACCAGTACACACCCGCTAAGAAGTTCTTGCTCTGCGTGCCTATCGTGCTCTTCCTCCTCAGCACTCATTATACCCATTTCGATTTGACCCACTTTACTATCAACTTCCTGGCCACGTTGGGAGTGGTAATTCCCAAGCTGCCTTTCGTATGTTATATCTACTCGGGACCAGACGAAACTCATTTGCTAACTTTTTGGCTGCAGTCGCATCGGTTGCGAATAGGTCTCTTCTCCGATATACCCGAGGAGTCATAGTGGCTCCCATTTAATCTTTCCTTTCTTTTTTCTCTCTCCGCTATCCATGTTGGCGTATACACGGCCTTGATTTCCCGAGCTTTCTCGCCTTCCTCTCCTTTTCTTCATAAAAGGCCTTTGCATTGCGAAAATGATTGACGGGGGTTGAACCGTTCTCGGCCACCATGCATTCTGTTTCTCTTTTTTCTTTTCGTCAGCAAATATGAAGACGCAGAAGTCACTGCGAACCAGTCCAGATTCCCATCCTTTCGGTCTGCCTAGGCAGCTTATCCTTGTCTAGATTTCCAAGTATCCAAGCCCTGCAATTTTTTACCTTGAATGCTTCCACTTTTTCGGCTCCCTGCTATGACTTTGAAATCTTGGGTTGTACAATGTAAGGGATCAATGTACCTTTGCAATCTATGCACATGGAAGTAAGAATCAGGCCCTAGTATGCATATAGAGCTTTGATCGGGTAATGCAGGTCAATCTCTTGGCTGGGGTCCATGCGGCTATTGCATCATAGAACTCGAGTAAGATGAAGTATTCACTTCTTAGCCCTCGAACATTAGAGTTTGTACTCGGAGGATATACAACGTAAACAATGCAAAGGCAAGGTGAAATATATCTCCAGGGCTACATACCTAACCTGGGGATTTCAGTTCAGACTCCTTGATACTTCAAGCCGACCACAGGGCCCCCGGGCTCATCATGCACTAGCCTCGTCAATATATGCCTCAGGTCCTTACAGCAAGAAATAGCCAGTTCATTGCCTGTATACTTTCCACCGCCTTTGTTTCCGCCCTCCAAACAAAGAAGTTCAACCTTTTTATAGAATTGATTAACGAAAACTCTCTTAGTTTGATGACTACGGTATTATCCTAACATACCTCTAGAATCTACTTTAGATGCCTTTCTTATGCTCTTCAATAATGTCACATATATCAGCATTCAACTGCCTACTGTTCTGCCGGACATATATTTCTGTCAACACGCCATACGCCATCTCCGCGTCTCCTTATCGATAAGCGCGTTACTGCCAGCTCAAAATGTATCTTTTCAGCTGGCTTTTCACAACCCCCCCTCTGGCTATGGCGACCGTGGACGAGGTACCATATCGGTCACCTGTACCCCTTCAATGGGAGCTGGCTCGACAGACCGAAATTTTCCTCGAAGATAGCCTATGTATGTTCTTTTTTCCCCGTGCTTCGACGCGCGTGGGGGAAACCCTCAAAAGAGCCGCTGCTAATAATTTCCGTTTTCTCAATAGGGCCCCAAGCATATAGCCTTCTCTTCAATGTCCTTGCATCAGGCACTATCTCATCGACAAAGGCAGTGATTCCACTGCCACAGCATCTCGCCGTCGCAGCTACGATGCTCGTGCACCCAAGAACAACAACGCGCGCCGAGTCGGAGTACGAAAAAGAAGCACCCAAGGCAGCTTTGCGATTTCTTCGACTGACGAATTCCCTTGTTGGTCCCACGGATGCAAAGTTTAATCTCGCTTTCGGCTTCACCCAGTTTGCATCTTCGCGACAGAGTAGGCGGCGTGCGGAAAGCCCCATGCTCGTTGAGCATGACAATCCTGATACCAGGCCTCTGAATACGAAATTCAACCAAGCTGCTTCGGTGTGGCACTGCGCAGAGGATTTCTGGCACGCTGTCGGTTGGGCATTTAATTGTTCAGTACTTCATCCGGCCCGGTGGGAGCGCTGGCAAATATGGCTCCAGTTTATGTGCAATGTACTCGAAGATGATTGGAAAGAGCGCGAAAATAAATACCAAGAGGCAAAACAAAAGCAAACGGATACCTCGGTTTTGCCAGAGAAGTCAGAGAGGTCAGAAAGGGAGGCCTCGCAGGGCGCTGAACCGATCAAGGAAGAAAACCACACGGGCAAAAAGCCCAAGGCGAAGACAGTGAAGGTGCAAGATGACCTTGGAATCTTCCGGGAAAGCCTGATATTCCGTTACATCGCCTCAAATACCACAGCTGGACGAAACCGCAGAATCATGCGCGCAATCTTTGCCAACGGCAAGTCAAATCTCGGCGAGTTCAAAGAGGTATTCAACGATGAACTCAGAATTCCCGTTGCCGACCAAGACTTGCATAATGCCAAGAAGAGGGCAGGTGATATCAACCTCGACAAGGATGACTATGGCGACTACCAGAACAACTCAGACGAGGATATCGAAGCTGATCAAAGCTCAACCTCGATATCACCTCCAGCCAAGGGGTCGAATGCTAAGACACGACGTAGCAAGCGAACCCGACGAGGAACGCGAAATGCGATGGATGAAGCCACAGACCCCATCAAGATGGCCAAGAACAAAACACCCTCCCAAGAAAACAGCAATCTAGCCCCCCCTAGGCGGCTACACCTCCCTCGCCCTCCGCCAGCAGCTCCTCAGCATCCTATCCAGCGTCTCGGAAAAGCTGCCCCGACACTTCATGCCCCTGAGACGACCTCTACGACCTGTTCGTCGAGAACATCCGGGACCTTTCCCTCCCGATCTTCCAACAATTTATCAGCCCTTCCAACCTGCCACACCTCCTACCCGGAGCGCACTCTACTCTCTGCGAGCTCCTACTCTTCGTCCTCCGCGAGAGCTCCGCCCCCAGCTCCGACGATAATTACCTTACCCAGGCCAAGCTGGAGAAATGCTTCCTCCCGTACGCAGCGGCTACCCCAAGCGTCGGGAACAATGCCAAAGTCTCCATTCTGCTTGAGGCCTTGATGACACTCCTGCACAAGAGCAAGATGCTCTCTGTGACCCCGTCGCTGGCCGAAGCTGTCCGGTCTGGGATTGCGCGTCGTGAGCAGGCTAGTCGTGATCGGAACTCGATTGAATGGGCTTATTTGAAGGAGAGTGGGTTTAGGATGAAGTTCATGGTCGAGCATATCTTACCATGAGCCTTGCTGTGGGATTAGGGAAGATAGGCGTTGTGGTAATGATGTTCATGATGACAATGATACTTAACGATCGGGTTTCGAGTCTATGGGCGTTTATGGAGGGTTTGGATTCGCTTTGCATTTTTCTTCGGTTTGGATATATTTGTCGTGACATATACTTAGCTTAGGGGCCATGGAGTTCCTGTACTGTCTATTAGATGCCAATTCCTTTCATTTACCGTGAAAGGACTATCCTACGGACGTGTGATCAACCTGTAACTCGGTGTCTTTTGAAATGTGTTTATTATAGGATCTTGAGTATAATTGCTATCTACAACCACATCGCGTGAAAAACAAAGTAAAGCAATGGCCTGGAGCGGGAATCATAGCACGCAAGTAACAGAATAATCCACCAAAGCAGATATGATAATAGGTTTTCTGCTTCAATGATGATAGAGGCAGGGGAAATAGAGCTTATAAGAAGGAGGAAGCAAGAATGGTAAGAAAACAGAAGGGACGAGTAATCAAATAAACAAGAACCCTAGGTTGAATAGGTAGGCCCAACGAGTTTCCAACACAAGCCAGCAACTTATCGCGGCGGCCGGGGTCCAATAATCTGACGTCTAGCACCGCCAACACCAAGGCCAACACCGCCACGGTTCTGATTATCACCACCCATATAGCCATACTGATGAACATCCCAAGACTGACCGGGTCCCGAGCCTTGCGAGTTATCTTTGTTGCCACGCTCGGCCGCAGCCGCCGTCTGCTTCTGGTTCTCAGCCCACTCCTCCTGGCGCGCGCGTTCGCGCTCCATCTCCCGTTCCAGAAGAGACTTGGACGCCCAGCCGCCGGCCTTGGTCTTCTGCTGTGAGGCTGCGCGGCGGCTATTCTCCGCGTCGACTTCGGAGGTCGAGGTGTAGTCTTGGAATCGGTGGGTGGCTGGGGCTGGGGATGCGGGTGCTGGGTTCGAGGAGAGGAAACTATCAACGCGACTTTCGTGGCCCCGGTTGGCGTTGTAGGCTACTGGGTCTGGAAGGGGCCGAGGCGAGGCGGGTAGGTCCCTGGGAGGGAGTGCTGGCGTTGCAGAGAAAGATGATGGCTTTGGCATTGGGAGGGGACGAGCGGGCGGTGCTGGTGCTTGCTCCTCGGTGGGGTTGGGTTCCTCTGCCTCAGAAGTAGCGGGCATGTCCTGCGTGTTCTGCCACTCTGTACGGAGGAGTCGCCGTTCTTGTTCGAGGGAAGAGAGATCGTAGCTAGGTTTGGGGGGAACGGGACGAGGGCGACTTTGACTGCGAGTCTGAGGCTGATCGCCAGTCTTTCCAGACTGGGCTTCCTGGCGTTCGGTCTGATACTGGCGCTCCCGCTCCTTTGCCTGCTGTAGCTCACGTTCGAGCTCTTTGATGCGGCGGCTTTGGGCTGTTTCCTCGGCCGGACTTGCTCCGGCGACATCACCGACCTGGGGGTTGGAGGTCTGGTACTGGCTTAGGAACTGACCATTGAGACGGATATCATGCACGTTTCGTCTCTGTTGTCGCTCCTGCTCAAACCGCTCTTCGGCTTCCTTCTCTTCCGCCATACGTCGCTGCTCGTCCGCTTCCCATTGGCGTTTTTCATCATCCCAGCGCTTCTTTTCTTCTTCAACCCTGAGACGTTCTTGTTCCCTTACACGAGCAGTCTCTTCTTCCCATCGGCGCTCCTCTTCTGCCTTAGCACGAGCCTCCTCTTCTGCAATCTGACGCTGGTGTGCCCGCTCTGCCTCTTCCCTCTCTGCGTTCTGTTGACGAATCCGTTCATCCTCTTCCCGCCTGCGCTTCTCTTTCTCTGCAAGACTTGGCACAGCAGGCGCAGGAGTGGTGATCTGTCGGCGAGCACCAAATGCAATCCCTTGATTCCCTTGGCTCGCTCCCCCCCATGTAGCCATATTGGTGAATGTTCCAAGCAGGGGTAGTATCCTGTTCATCTCCCTTCTTGGCCCAAGTACTATATGACCCGGCAGGTTTCACAGGGCTATCTGTTCGAGAGGGAAGGGTGGCTCTTGCATCCCCGACATTGCTAGAGGAGCGGGCCGATCGAGGTGAGTACGCTCCGTTGCTTGAACCCGTCGCATTTGGGCTGATGACACCGCGCTTACTCTGTGGACCGACAGTTCGGGGAAATTTGTTGGGTGCAAGGGCATTAGCCCGCCGACTGAACGCTGCCAGACATTGGAGAACCTGCGCCGGATCCTTTCCTTCGTAGAGATCAACTGTCAGGAAGACATCGTGTGGGGGAAGGTTGAGCGGGGGCAATTGGCATGCGCGCAAGAAATGCGAAATGTTCTCCATCTGTACAAATGGCGCGGACAACTGCTTATACTTCACGCCCGGTGACACAGCGAGGTTTACCAGCCTTGTAATTAAAGGAGTTAGCTAGGGGTCCAGACTCATTGATGCTACTCTAAAAAGACATAGACACTACTTACTTGCAAAGAGCAACGCCATCTTTCAGGCCTTCAAGCAAGTCTGGCGATGCCAGTTTCTCATGCAGCACTTCCTCAATCCAGTCGCGTACCTCCGCGGCTGCCTGCGGGGTATAGCGGGATAGGCGCATATTGCGCAAGTCCTTGTCCAACGAAGTCACTGAAGCCATATTGAGTGTCGGATAATCGATGCTCTATTGTTGAAGTGTAGTTAGACTGTTGTTGCCACTTGGTATGTATCCCTTTACGGGTGCCTGATCGGCCCTAACGGTGGCGGGTGTTGGGTAGCAGAAGGAGGATGTTCCGTGATACAATTGGAAATGATTAGATGAAGAAAATGCTTCAATTACTAGAAGTGTAAAGGTCTTCTAGTAAAGTCGTAGAAATAAGAAAGACAAAAGGAGAAAAAGGTCGAGAGATGGAGGAGAAGAGGAATGGAATGTCCGGGCTGTGTTTATCCCCCCGATGACGTTCCTGATAGCCCGCCCCGATCTTTTTTTGCCTCTTCTCTATTCTTCACACTCAACGATGGTTAACAGCTTATGGTTCAAATGGAAGAAGCTTCGCCTGCCCTGGCGGAAGTCCTTCTTGGTCGGTCAGTATCTGCTTTCTGTTTTTCCTGTGGCGTCTCCGTGTCTCAGTCCCGCTAACCGTCTCTTAGGTGAGGATCTCGCCGGAAATACCTACTGGGAGTTCAAAGATGTGATGAATGCAGCTCGATTCCGTCGCATTGTTCGATACGACCCCAAGACTCATTTTAGTGACGTTCAAGTAACACGTGAGTTCTGTCGGAAGATGCAGGCTCGGGCTTGGATCGCATGTCTCTGCTCCGGGTTCAAAGGGGAATGAGACTGTTGAAGCACAACTAACATGTTATTTCAACACAGCACAATGGCACCAATGGCTGCGACATGTCCGACAACATCCCCCGAGCATCCAGGAGCAGCAGCAGGATCTTGTTCGGCAGGCACAAATCAAACAACTCGCTCGACTCGCCGATGAGCGTTGGGCCAGCAAGCCCTCCTATCTCGATAAGCCCAAGACTCAGCAACAACCCCCAGCAACCCAAATCGATGAGGCTACTTTGAGTCAGCCCGCCAACGCTGCTCCTGCACAAAAAGCACCGGCTTCAGCCACAACCCCCGAAACAGCACCAGAGACACAAAAGGAGGAGAACCCGTGGGCCAAGGCGAAAAATACCAACCCAGGCGAGGAGTGGCAACCTGAAGCGTGGTCTCCTAGTTCCAAGCGGTGAAAGGTGATATCGGCTTATTTTGGTCATTTCTTCGCAATGCTATATAAGCTTGACTTTCAGAGATATGTGCTAGAAGGCAGAGAAGGTCGTCGCCCTGCACCATTTGTCAATTCATCGGCAAAAACATCTTGCAAAGAACCCCGGTCATGGATGGTATCGAGGCTATCCCATGCTCGAAGAGTTTTTGGACTCCACCCGCGCTCCTTATTGCATGGGGATATGGGGATAGAGGTTATTGTACACTGTGTTCAACCTCTCAAGTCATAAGCAATGTGGCCCAAACTGTCTCGGGGGTTTCAAGATACTCAAAGTCATATAAATTGGCACTTGTATAGTACACTACATACGTATGCGTCTTCAGTATCTAGCATTTTCCACTTAATCTTACCACTCTCTTCTCTGTCCCTGCAACTATACTAACAGTAAGTCTAGTGACTACGCAGGCATATAGTTCTTTTTTCTGAAAGAATATTTTCAATTTTCGTACTCTAACATATAAACATCCCCTTTTTTTGGTTTTTTGTATTTTCCATGCTGCACCGCAAGTGTCATTCCAAGACAAGCAAAGGCATCGCAATAAAATCAAAAGCAAGTAAATCTCCCCCCTTCATTTTTGTGTTTTTCAATTTTTCCCACTTGTTGCAGCATAGGCACATCTCAAGCTTGTAGGAAAAGCAAGGACATTGATTGCACCCTTTTTTTTGGTCTTTTTGTAGTTATTCTTAGCTTTCGCTTCAGCAATCTTCCAGCTCAACAATGAAAGTCATTGCAAACATCAAAGTTCAGGAACAATTTCAAAGAACAATAGAGCACAGCAAAAGGGTATCGAACTCCAGATTCCGGAATGATCGGGCAAATATCGGCAAATATCGGCAAATATCAACAAGAAAGTAGAAAATGGCAACGGTCAAATTAGATGTAGACCATGCTGTTCGGGCAATTGCGCGAGATATTCAAGGTATCACCTGTGAACTTCTCCGAGTCGTAGATCTGCTGATTATTGTCATGGTAGATAGCCAACAGATACTTCCGGCCACGATCACAGAACTTGTCAGCCAGGAAAGCAGGAGTGCTGTAACTGATCGATCGAGTAGCCCGGCCCATCATGTAACAGATGTTGTGAGTAACTTCTTGCAGCACATCAACGGGCTTGCGGTCCGGATTGGCCTTGGAATTTGTGAAAATCTCATCGTGGATGACAATGTAGTGAGCTGGACGAGCGGAACCCTGGAGCGGAGCCTGGGCTTGCAGGTAGAAGTCCCAGTACATAGGGCGAGTTACTCCGCGGTCAACAACACATCCGTTGAGTGGGTTGGATGTTCTATCTTGGTCCCTCGCGTTGGTAGGGTAGAAGCGCACGTTGTGGCGTTTTCCACAGACAACGATGGTGATGTTGGGCATGGCTCCACGGTATACCGCTTTGGCAGCAGCTTGGATCTTTGGAAGTTCCTCCGTAAGGACCATGTTGTATTGACCCTCGCTAACACCGTCACGGTACACGAGAATTTTTTGGGGCAAGTTGCCATTGTTGTTCTTTTGCCACAAGTGCAGCCGGCCAAGCATCATATCCTTGAGGAATTCAACGTGTTCTTGACGGCGCATCTGGGCTCGAACCTCACCGGGCCATTGTCCCATACGATAATCAGTAGAGGCAACAATGGAAGCAACACTGGGGAAGACCTCCGGGTCTGCACTCGACGGATGAGTGACATCCAAGCCAACGACTATGGTGCTCTTCCCTGCACCAATGAAGCGTGCGTTCGCCGGCTGCAGGAGTTGATTGATTCCTCCCATTTTCAAATTGACCTTCATAGCGTTATTACTCCAGTATTGCTCATTGGCCTTGATGACCTTGTCGTACAACATGCAGTGGGTAAGGATGCCCGTCTTAAGATCTCCGGCATACTTGACGTAGTCAAAGTTTTTGCCTTCTGTGCTAGGAAGCACAACAACCAAAAAGGGATACGACTTGTTCGCGATATCTTTAAACGTGTCTTTGAGCAGACTTCGATTCTCTCTATCATCCAGGCCGAGAAAGACCTCGCGATGCGGTTTATCGAACGGCGGAAGCGTCAGGCCATGGTCACGCATTTTCCGGTAGAATCCGTCCATCATGGGAATAGGACTTCCATCTTCCTTGGGACCGCGCTTCCGAATCCAAAGAACGGTCCATTTGCTGATGTTGGCGCACTGGGAAAATTTTGTGTTGACCAAATTCCACGAGCCATTTCGAGGGTTAGTGGTCTTCTTGCCGCCATAGAGCAGATTGGGGGGGATTCAAAATTCGCGCAGGTACAGTGATCATCTCCTTGCCGGGCTTGATTCCTACCGCCTTGGTATGTCCTCCGGAGATTCCCATGAGCTTCAGTCCTTCGGTCATAATGGAGTCATAGTTCTGAGGAGAACGGCGGCAGCTGAACTTGATCATGTTCTGTCGTTGGATGAGTCCTAGCTCCGCCGTGCAGGGTTGCCCGGGGAGGACTTCGCAAAGCTCCGCAGGAATGTAAACGGGACGGTCAGACGTCCCAACGTTCACAACTGGCATTTTCTCTGCCCTCTCCAGTGGCCTGTTGTACTCTGTTATTTCCTATTAGCAAACTGTACCACAAATATTGACCGAGAGGCAGCAAACATACGTCTGGCGAAGTACTCGGCAACCGTCACGTATTGTCCCTTCTTCTCATCTCCCATCCAGAATGACACGCTCTTCGCACTAGCTGCCATATCTGGAACCTTCGGGGGTGGTGGCCATTGCGTCCATCCCTAGGAGTGGCAACTCCGAGGATTGTTTTAACGGGTTTTTCATTCTCCCCAGATCCGTTCTCTCGAGTCTTCAGATGCAGGACGTGCACTTTCAAGCCCTTCAGGACCCGGTGCAGGAAATTCTTCTCTCTTCCGTGGACATATGCGAAGTCATCGATTATTTGTGTCAGCAAACATGGACGGAAGAATGCCCCGTGGCTAACATTCAAATTGAGGAAGATTCGTCCAGCACCAAGACGGACACTCGAGTAGTAACCACGAATCGCTTCGAGACCACCCCTGATGTCCATGGACTGCTTTCCCTTGTCGATCCGGAAGAATTTGTTTCGGCCCTTGCCAATGATGACGACGCCGGGATCATTGTAGGCGTAGGCACTCATGAGAATGTTGAGTACTCGGAGACTGGGCGCTTCATTCGGCACTTCCTCTCGGTGATTGGCGTCCTCAAGGTACGCAAGGACTTCAGCTGGAGAATAAGAGTTTTCCAGTGTCAAAGTGGCCTCCCAAGGGCCGGTGTAGGCTTTCGATGTCCCACTTCCGCCGCCCATGGAACAACGGAATGGCACTCGGTCCTTGGGGAGTCGCTCAGTCGTAACAATCTCAGTGGCCCCATCAGTGGCAACGCCGATTCCTTGGTTGAACAGAGTGTATTTGCGGAACATGCTCTCAAGAACGAACTTTTGTTGCCCTTTCTTCGCCTCGGGCTTGATCTTCAGCCGATAGGAATAGAACCTGATGTTCGGCTTGAACTCCATGGGGAAGAAGTTGGCACGAAGCACAGTCGGACGGCCTTGAGTACCATAGCCAGGACGCCGAGCCAAAATGTTGGATTCTGGACGAGCCTTTGCTGACTCTGTAATGCACTTGTCCTCCAAGGCCTGGACTCGCGCGCTGGGAGCTTCAACCGGGTCTGTCAACATTCTGTGCGCATGTTAGATATGAGTTTCTCCTGATATAGAACATATAAACTTACCCAGAAGGGGGTTCAGACCCGCCACGTCCACCACGACCACCGCCACGGTCACTGCCACGGCCTCGATCACCGCTGTAACCCCGATCACCGCTGTAACCGCGGTCACTGCCACGGCCGCTTGAGCCACCATCGCCGCGGCCTCGGGAGCCCCCCACGATCACCACCACCACGGCCGCCTCGAATGGGCAGATCACCGTAGCCACGTCCAGACATTTTGACGAATGTCTGTTAGAGATAATAGGTAGTCGTAAAGATAGAAAATGATGAAGTGAGACTGCAAACTTTATTTGAGGAAGTAGAGTAAGCGACGACAAGGACTCGAAAACCCCAGTTGTTTGGGTATTTCCAGATAGGTATCGAAGACGACAGGAAGAACGGAGGAACAAATTTCGAAACAGGACAAGCGCTATCTTGTCTATCGCAGGGTTCCTTTTTCAAAAGAGGAAAAAGAAAAGTCGAGTTTGGCTTCGTTGATCTGTGAGAATGTGTCAATAACGATGAACATTGGATTATCGAGATGCATGAAGATAGTGATGTGAAGACGGACCGATGGAGCAGGGAAATGGGCAATGTAGGGCATGCAATGCAATAAGGCAAGTATCCCAACCCACAGCCAAGAGCGATGCCAATGACAATATCAATGGAGATGGCGATGCAATAAAGATGCAGGATAGAACGCAGTGATAGAATATCTCATGCAGGGAGGGATATGCGCAGAGATGGAGGATGGTGCAAGGGAAAGGGTCTCAAGGAAGAGAAATGGAAGCCAAGGGAGACCAGGAAATAGCAAATGCGAAGCAGCAAATAAGAACATCAGAATGAACCAAGGGCAGCAAATGAAGGCTGAGATGCAAGCAAAATACCTGATCTTAGTGAGATGACAAGTGAAAGAAGGGGTGTGTTGCAGGTTAGGACCTGGGGTAAAAGATATGTAGCAATTAAGGAGTAACAAGTGAGATGCCGTTAAAGCAACAAGTGATATGCAAGTGAGAGCAAATGAAAGATAAGTGAAAGATTGGTGAAGATGAAAGTGAGATAAATGTAAATGCATAGATAGCAGCATGTGCACTGAGAGTGAGAGATGCAGGCACTAGCATGCAAATGCATACATAGCAACATATGCAATGAGAGTAAGAGATGTAGGTACTGGCATGCAATAGAAGGGCATAAGGGGCAACTCAGTGTGTAAGGAAGCGGAGTGTATACTCACCAGAGCAGTTTGTATGTATCGTGGGGAGAGAAGGAAGAAAGAAGAAGAAGAAATTGCTCGGGCTGGTATTTATAGTCGGCACCGGAGCATGAAACGCGCGCTTGTATTGGTGTATTGGACTTGGTGTATTGGACTTGGTGTATTGGACTTGGTGTATTGGACTTGGTGTATTGGACTTGGTGTATAGAGGACTTAGTATAGAGGACTTAGTATAGAGGACTTAGTATAGAGGACTTAGTATGGAGGATCTAGTATGATGATTTATTATGAGGACTCAGTATGAGGGCATATAATGGAGGACATATTATGGAGGATTCAGTATGAGGATTCAGTATGGGGACTCAGTTTGGGGGACTCAGGATAAAAAGTAAAGTTAGCCACCGAAAGTCAATGATAATAGGAGGATAAAAAGGGAAGGATGAAGCTCACCAGTTCGGTAAAAGAAGACACATGCCTCGAAATCCCTTAAGCGCGAAAAAAAAAAAGGGAAAATAAGTATCTACTTCAAAGGCTGGATAGTCACAAAGTATTATGAATTAGATATCCACAGAAGAGTCTAGATATTAGAATAGTCTAACATTTTGAGGGTGTAACCACCCGGGCCCAAGCCTGAAAGCAAAACCGTAAACTCCAAAAGCAAACCAGATATTCCCAATGATATAACCATAAAACACCGGCTGGAAAAAACGTAGGACAGAAAAAGCAGAAAAAGAAATCAAATCAAAAACAAGCTTAACAGAGAACAGCTTCGAGAGCTTCGACGTCGCCGCCAGCGCTGCGCACAGCCCTCAATGCGGCTTCGCTCAGCTTGCGACGTCTATCGCGGGCTTCTTGCTCGCGGCGAGCCTTGGTCTTGGAACTGCCGGAGGGGGCAACTCCGGTCAGGATCTTCTTGCTGTCGTGAGCGGTAAAGTTGACGAACGATACGCTGACAGACTTGTTTGAGCCTCGGGACGAGGAGCCAGATGCCTTGGCGGGCTTGGGGGCATTCATGCTCTGGCCGGAGAGCTTACGGCTGTGAGTGCGGCGATGAGTGGGTTTGGAAATGGATCCATTGCGGGTGTCCCTGGGTGATGTGCCGGCCTTGGGGGAGAGAGATGGTGAACGGGAGACGTTGTGGACTTGGGAGGTGTTGAAGGAGGTGTCGAATTTTTGAGGGGTGGCGGGGAGCATATTAGACGATGAGAATGAGTGGTCCGCTGACATGTCATAGGAGGGATTGAATTGGATCATTAGTCCTCCTTGCATCATGTCATTTTGGCTTCCAACGCTTTGCATGGTGCGGACAGGTGTGGGAGATGTGAGGTAAGCGGCCTGGTGTTGAGCGACCCGAGAAGGCATGGGAGACCACCATTGAGAATCTTGGCCTTGGAGGTCTGGAGTGAATGAGAGAGATGAGGCATGAAGAGGGTCGGATTGCCAAGAGGAGAGAGAATGGGGGTCGGATGAGTGAGACGAAGAGAACATATCATCTGCGGAAGAAGGGCTGGAGTTGGTCAAGGAGGAAGAGCTTGGCTGAGCAATGTAGTGCTGTTGCTGCCGTGCTGACATTGCGATATTCGGCGATGGCATTGAAACTGAAGGAGACTGTTGGTATAGTCTTGCGTCGTACTGAGGAGGCATCTCTGCTGAGTCTCTATGCTGGTTCATGATTTGTTCGGTAGGCATGTTCTCATGCTGAATGAGGACATCCGATGGAGGAGGTGACAGCGGCAGACGATCTTCGGAACCGTGAAGACTGAAGTTCTGAAGTCGCTGGGCCCAAGCCTCGGGATATGCCATTCTTGCTTTAGAAAGGTTGGAAGAGCGCATTAAGCTGGGGGAGAAACTTTGCTTGCGCAGATGAGAGCGACGCTCATTCGGGCTGCGGTGGCGGATAGATTTGGGGGTGATAAGAGCACTCTGGGTAGGCTTCCGTCTAGGGGTAGCTGGAGGAGTGGATGGCGAGGTAGACAGACGGTGGCTTGCGGTAGGGCGAGAGGGAACTTCAAAGTTGTTCAGATTGACATCCGAGATTGCAGAGGGGTGGACAGTGTCATGAAAAGCAAAATGATCGGCAGCGGCCCCGTCATCCTGCAGGGACCACTCATTACTCCAGGGTTGCGGTGATTGATGGCGTTTGGGAGTGGAGACAGTGGGTGGAAGATCGCCACAGTCACTCGACAGCGAGTCAAGTGGAAAAAGCTGATCAAAATCGGACAACGCCGAATCCTTTCCATCAACGGCACTAGTTTCCATGTTGACGTATTGGTTGAACAAGTCATTGAACGAATGGTCGTATGGTTGGGCGAACATCTTGTTTTCCGTTTGCGGCGACAATATAGAAGAACGGGGCGAAAAGTGTAGTCAGCGACTAGATGTCTCAAAGACTAGATGTGATTGGACAACCAATGAGATGCTCTTTAGGGCTCTGGGGGGTTCAGGATTCGGGGGATCGACCCGGATATCCGAGAAGTGCAAAGGATGCAAAGAGAGAAAGTGTTTGGTTTGAATGTTTGGATGTTTGACCGTTTGTCAATCAAAGAAAACACTGCAGATGATGCAAAGAAAGCAAAGCAAACAAACAGATGCAAGCCCTATTTGAATGGCTGCCAGGGACACCAGCCTCGGAATTTCTGGACACATTCCAAGTGCTCTAAAGATGGACAAGGAATGTGCTGTAGAGGGCCCCGTTGGCTTCTAGCCGGCCCCACCAACCTCCCAGAAGAATGATTCAAGCTCTCCAAGCCAATCGTAGTTGCGCAAATATGAATGGCTGGCCGAGCTATTGATCTTTGTCAAATCCCGAAGAGGGTTTGTTCCGGATAGCCACCCACGGGAATGTAACCCTCCTTAACTAAGCCAGAAGCAGTGGAACAGTCATCAAATGAGCTGGTGAAGCGGGTCTGGGGAGGCCTTAGGCATGTTGACCCGATACCTTGAATTAGAGATCGACATAACTTGTACGGAGTAAGAGCACTTAGGAAAGGAAATGGGTCGGAACGCTCTCCGAGCCGTTCAGGATTGTCCAAGGAACAAGGACTAGCCAAACAGCTGGGGCAAAAGGATGATCGCCTATCAGGTTCCAAGGTTAATACTTCCAAGGTTGCAGTGTAAGCGTCATGATACCTGCTATCCCATCATCAACCACCCGAAGATTTGACTTGGGTGACAGTATGATCTGCCGCGCAATATGGCTAGACACTTCTTTCATTTGCTTCATCATGATTAGCCAATCGATTCAATTGGTGGGGGTGGTGTTGTCGATTGGTCAATGCCTGTTGGTGATAGACGGTCCGGAATGTGGGTTGGAACGTAGAGGCTGGGCGGAATGTCACCCCTTTTTCCCCCGAACAATGCACAGAAGAATTTGAGATATTCGAGAAGGACAGATTTTCCTGGGAAGCCAGTATAGTATGTATGCGCACCTTGCTCGGAAATTTAGAAAACCTTGACCTGCAGGAGATCGCCATCAAGGGCCCTTATTTGGGAGTGTTTGCTTCGACCCCATGTTCTATATTTGGACCGCATCAAGTTGATCAAGATAAGGCCGTGTTTGAATGCAGTAAAGACCAAGCTTTTCTCCAGTATGAGATAAGGATCTGACGCCTCCTTTCCCCTTTGAAAGAATTCAAGTGCCATTTGTCAAAGCGTAGTGTCCTTCAATGGCTTTCTTGTATCTCAAAATGATATCATTCCATGGTTAGTCAATTGTGTTTAGGTAATTTTGAATCCACCAATGGGTTGTAATGCGTTGGTGGTCCACGGGGTGTGTCGATATGTGTTGCTTCCCGAGTCCTTTGGCATCCTTGTCATGTCTGGGTTGAGCTCAGGCATCACAAACAAAGCGCGACCAATACCCAACCAATGAACATAGATGGCGAGACTGCACAACTGGAAAACCGGGTTGAACCCGAGAAAAGTTGGTAGAGCTGAAGTTCCAAGGCGCTTTGGATCAGCCTGATAGGCCTGCAACCTGTCATGCAGTTGTGCCTATTTCTTCAAACAGAGTATAAGGCGCTAATGCGGAATGCA